ATAAACTAATATCATTTGCAGTAACAGGGATGGAGCTCGAAAGGATCATGCTCAGTGAAATAAGCTAGAAGGAAATAGAATAATATCGAATGGTTTCAGTTATAGGAGGACTATAGGGGAACTAAATAAGAGATTAGGGAAAATAATAACAATAATAATAAACTAGAAGACAACCATAAATAGGACACATTCTGTGAGGGAGAGAGAGGAAAATGGATCAAAACAAGGGAGAGAAGAGCACAAGGGCCTATGGTGAAAGTTCACAGGTGAACTGGTAATGGGAATTTTATGGGGAATACACAATGTAAAAGATATAGCAAAAACAGGCCCTCCCTGGTGGCGCAGTGGGTTAAAGCACAGCACTAAGAAGCTAAAGCCACTTAAGCATGAGTTCGATCCCCGCCCCAGATGTGATGGCACAGCAGACCTCTCCTGACATACACACTGCTCCCCTCAACAATGTACTGCATCAGTCAGCCTGTTCTCCTCCCCACTCTGTCTCTGGTGAATCCTCTCAGTGCCCCTGTACCTCTGGCCTGTACCCCAGCTCTGTATGCATAAATAAATAAATCTTTTTAAAAAAAAGATATAACAAAAATAATTAGAAAAAGAAGAGAGAGATTTATCTTTAAAAATGTTATTGAGGTGTATGTCGTGTAGTGTTTCACCCACCTTTTCTTCTAGATATTTTATGGTTTCAGGTATTGTGTCCAGTTCTTTTACCCATTTCAAGTTGGTTTTTGTACATGGTGCCAGATAGTAATCTAGCTTCATTTTTTGCTGCCCAGTTCTCCCAGCACCATTTGTTGTACAAACTTTCTTTATTCCTTTGCATATTCTTTGCTTCTTTGTCAAAGATTAGCTGTCCATAAACCTGTGGGTTTCCTATTCAAATCCACTGGTCTGTGTGTCTATTTTTGTTCCAGTACCATGCAGTTTTGATTGTTATGGCTTTGTAGTCTAGCTTGAAGTCTGGGAGTGTGATGCTTCTGTTCTCTTTCGTTTTAGTCAGGAGAGTTTCAGCTATTAGAGGTTTTTTGTAATTCCATATAAAACTCATAACCCAAAGCAAGACTAATGAAGGGAATGAAATGCAGACAGCCAACAGGCATATGAAAAATTGTTCAACATCACTTGTAATAAAGAAAATCTAAATTAACACCACAATGAGATACCATCCCACACCAATGAGAATGGCACATGTTAAAACAACTAGCAACAGCAAATGTTGGTGAGGATGTGAAGAGAAAGTAATTCTCCTACACTGCTGGTGGGAATGCAAACTGGTCTAACTTATGGAAAGCTGTCTGGAGGTTTCTCAAGACTGCTAAAAATGAATCTTCTGTGTGACCCAGAAATCCCACTCTTCGTATCTATCCAAAGGACACAAGAACAGTGATGCCAAAGGACAGCTGCACCCCTATATTTATTGCTGCTCTATTTACAATAGGGAAGATATGTAATTAACATAAATGCTCAAAAATAGGTGAGTGGATTAAAAAGATGTGGTACATATACACAATGGACAGTGGAATATTACTCAGTAATCAAGAAAGATAAACTCATGTCATTTGCAACAACATGGCTGGAGCTGGAAGGGATCATGCTTAGTGAAATAAGCAAGAAGGAAAAAGAAAAATACCAGATGGTTTCACTCATAGCAGGAATATAAGAGATCAGGGGGAAAAAATGCAATTGTAATAAAGTAAAAATGAAAAACAACAAGCAACTATGCAACTATTAACCAGAGACATTTTGAGGGGACAGAGAGAGGAATAGAATCAAAACTCAGATAGGAAGAACGCACAGGACTGTATGATGGCACACAGGTGAATTGATGGTGGGAAGTCCTTGGGGATTACAACCAAGATGAAAAACTGTACAAAATGAAGAAAGATGTAAAAAGTAAATGAATAAAAAATATATAAAAAATAAACATAAACACATAAATAAATAAAAAGAGAGAGAGGCAACAAGATGCTTGTTATTGAAAGTGTAATGGTACTGGTAAAAGAAAAGGAAATCTATATCTAGCTGCATCTTTTTTTAAACCTCTGAATGTCATCAAGCTACATCATAATTATAACTCCTTTGCAGAGGACTCCTTTTGGAATCGTAGTTTCTCTTTTTTCAATTCCCGGACACTTCTTGTGTAGACCTCCTCTGCCCACTGACCTAAAATACTCTTGAGTTAAGGCTTTTCACTGCCTAGTTAATAATAAATAGATCATGTCATCTCACACTTAAGTTTCATGATTGTATCCTGTTTTTTTTTTTTTTTCAGACCAATAGTAATTTTCAGTGAATGAAACCAAAGTACCATAAACTGCACAATTGGAAGCAGTCTGGGATGAGTGTATGAGTGATTTCAAGAGAACAAAAATAAATCATGCTTTTTTAAATCAAATACTTCCCGAGACCAAGAAAAAATAATCCAATAATTTTAATAACAGTAGGTGTGACATGAACACAAGTAAAATTTAGAATCATAGAAGAAATTTGTAAGTGCTAAACTTTAGGGAATCATATATTATTTTTACTTCCCAAATGCCAAAGCAGAGACCAAGGATTGTATATAGGTATATAAATTTGTTCAGAATTCCTTTTATTTTAAGATTGCTGTAGAGTAATTGTGCTCTAATGATGTCTGTTGATTTCACTGTGATGGATTAAATACATTACATTATGCTTAGAGTTGATGTCCTTACTATTACACTGATTATTGAGAGCCTTTAGAGAAAATATCTCATTGTACTTGTTGATTACATACCTCAATTGAATAGTAGCTTACAATGCCATATTGATTATTTTTCATTTCTGCTGTGGAAATTAGAGCAGAATTTGTTTAAAATGTGCTTCCATTTCTGTTGTGGATGTGATTGGTTCTGAATATTTAGTCACTTAATAAGTGTATTTTCCTCAGTTATTTGACGTTTTTACTGAATTTTTTCTTAGAACTTAGGCCTCTGCTTTTTTGATAAGCTTTAACTTGGGAGGATATTAAATGAGTAGATTAAATAATGGAATAGAAATACTTTCATAATTTAAATATGTATAAATTTTAATATGGCTTCACAGGAATCTGCTATATATTAATTTATGTGAAATTAAAGAGCAGTATGAACCTGCTGATTCTCTTAGCCACATAAGCCAGTCAATATAATTACATTCAAATTAGCAAATATGTATTTAGTGTTGACTCTATGTAAGCCACTCTGCCCAGCATTATGAAGATAGAATGTCAGTGAGAAAATATAATTTTTTTTCAGAGAATTTACAATCCAGAAAGGTGGTTTAGGCATTTATGACAAAAACGTTAAGCAGTAAGAGAAATATACTCAGGGGTTAAGAAGAAAGACAACTCATATTTAAATGGAAAATTTATGGGGGAAAGCATTAATGGAGGAGTTGACAGTCAATTTGAACTTAAAGGGTTTGGTGGGATGGATTTGGGGTTATTTTCTAGGAATAGATTATGTGAAATACTGATGTACAGGGTGGATTCCAGGAAATATAGTTTGTCTAATTTTTATTGGAATATGTGGTGTATGGTCTGAATATAGAAAGGTAGGTTGAATTTAGAGTAAATGTACCAAGGGAATCACAGTGTTTTAGGTAGACTAGAGGAAATTTATAGATGGAAGACTATAGTTAAGCATAGTCTAACACAGCTTTTCATAAACTGAATAATAGAATAAAGATGCAGAAACCTTAGAATGGAGGCTTCTGTATGTGAAAGACATAGTAATGAGGGTAAACTAGAGTGTTGACAAAGACCATGAAATAGATGGAGAGAGTATGTGTGTTAGTCATTCTAGAAGTATCATATTTAAATCTGTATGACTGAAAATCAAACAAACTTCTCTGTGTTTGATCGGTCTTTAGCTTTCTGCCACAATGGGACTTCAACTCCTGACACTCTCCCAAGTTTGTTTTTCCGCTACTGCCATACAGGTCCCTTCACAGTTCATATTATATTCCAGGCATCTCAGAACCCATTTGCCCTCATTCCCTCTACAGAGAAAGAGCTCATTTCTTTCAGTCTCTGCTCAAATATCATCATATCGAAGTATCCCTTACTACACAGGAAACATAACCTTTCACTTATTAAGCTGTATTTTTTCCCCCACAGTATTGAACATTTTCTTCTTAAATCTGGTTATTATCTGCCTCCCTCTTTCTAGACAGGAAGCTGTATGAGGGTGTTGTGTAGTTTTGTTGTCTATAAACTTGGTGATATTTCTATCATGCACCACATTCTTGAATGAATGAAGAAGATAAATCCAAAGGAGGAAGAAATGGGAGATTAAAACATTATGCCAGTATTTTAAGTTTGAATACTCAAATATAGTAGTGTTCTGAAGAGATTATGAAGCACTAGCTTTCAAGGGTTGGTTTTGTATTCTTTTTTGGTTACTTTTTTATTGAAGTGCAATTGTTTTACATCCTTGTGAATATTTTGACAGTATAGGATTTCCTTTCTTAGATTTGGTGACCATAGCACTCCTACCAGTAAAGCAACCATAGTCCAGTGTGCTCTCTCTCAACCCTGCCCTTTCCCCACTGAATGCCTCAGATCTGTGGTCAGCTTTCAAAATAGGTTTTGAAGTTTTACTTTGCCTGACCCTTTGTTTGCTTTCTCTATATTCCACACATAAATGACACAATCTCCCATTTTTCTTTGTCCTTCTGATTTATTTTATTTAACAGTTTTGGTAGTGGGTGCTCTATGGTGACTATACCTAAAGGAGGAGAGCCTATACATCCAAAATGCTAACAATGATGTAAAACAGTGGTAATAAAAAAAATTAAAAATGGAAACAACAAATAAAATCTGTCATTTGACTGCAATAAAAGTAAAATATAAATGAGAGATGAGGTATTGATTTAAGGGACTAGATACACAGGAGAAAATTTATCTTATTTATGTAGGCTTAATATATGATCTAGTGGTTGAAGTATGTAAACTTAAACTTATTTATTTTCATTTTTTTTAATAGCTGGGTTAACAACTTTGGTCATGAAGGTCTTGGACTCTTATTGGATGTGCTGGAAAAGCTTCTGGACAAGAAACAGTGAGAAAAACATTTTTTTTTAAAAATCATCAAAGGGGAAATCTTTAAACACATGTTTTTAAATACAACATGTCTTTTTCTTTTATCCAGACAAGAAAACATTGATAAGAAGAATCAGTATAAACTCATCCAGTGTCTCAAAGCATTTATGAATAATAAGGTAAGCAGTATATATTTTTGCCTGACACAGAAGTTGCGAAGTCAGCCAGTGGTATGAAACTGACAAAATACTGGGTACTTATTCAGCTTACAAAAAAGTCTTCATGGTGCATAGCATTGTAAGTTTTATTTAAATATTTTAAATATCTAAGCCTCACAAATTATAGTTTTGTTTTGTTTTGTTTTAAGATTTATTTATTTGTACATACAGAACTTGGGTACAGGCCAGAGGCTCAGGGGTGGCAAGAGGTTTCACCAGAGACAGAGTGGGGAGCAGAACAGGCAGATCGACGAAGTACACTGCTGAGCTGGCGGGCCAGGAGAGGTCTGCCACTCCATGTGGTCACATCCAGGGCAGGCGGGAATCGAACTCATGTGGAAGTGGCTTTAGCTTCTCAGTGCAGTGCTTTAATCCACTGCGCCACCAGGGAGGGCCCACAAATTACAGATTTTACAGTCATGCAAACATGTTAGTCTTGTTTCACTAGACCTTTTTTCTTTTGGTAATAAAAGTTATATAGAATCGATGTTTAACAAGAAATCACTTAAATACCATTGCCTCTCCACAGTTAAGATAGATCTCTTTCATTGATATAGGCTAACAAAGAAATAACAGGAAAAAACACAGGTCTAGAAATCATCAGCTATAAAGTTCATGCATTGCCGCTAGTAAGTTGAGTAATCTTAGGAAAATCACTTGATCTCTGGCTACAAATTCCCTAATTTGTATAATTAATTGTAGGACACTTTCCCCCTAATTTCTATTGATAGGTGTTTACTCTCAGAGCTTTCCAGGATACTAAGTAACTGTGTTCAAAATACTTACCTGTGAGATTTCCCTTAGGACTTTTTTTCACAAGATGTAAGTTAATTTGTCAATACATAATTACTTATAGCTTAAAAGCAGCAGTTTTTTAAGAACACTGTAGTTTGATTTAGAGTATTCTAAACTAGGTGAAGCTTTAGAGTGTTTTAGTGGTTAATACATAAATTATAGGAATATGAAATGATAGGCATACAGTATACATTCAAAATTTAAAATATACAGAGATATATCCAATTTCTGTTGGAAAAAAATGTCATGAAGAATGAAGCTTTCACATGTAATCACTTAAACGTGAAAGCTGTTGGCCCCAATGAGTGTAACCAACTTCAAAATCTCTTTGCCTTCTACAATGCATATAATAATAGGCTCATGTCCCTTCACTTTTAGGACTTTAGTCTTCAATTCTAGTACCATAATCTTTCTGTGATGTTTGGGATTATGGTTTTCTATCATTTCATATGTCTTCATTTAATTTTTAGTGTGCCCCTATATATTATAAGCTACTTGAAAACTACTTTCAAAATTTGAACTTTAAAACCTGTTTATAGCTGGCAATTATGTGATAATCATCCTTCAATTTTTTACGTTTTTTTTTTTTAAGATTTATTTATTTATTCATACAGAACTGGGGTACAGGCCAGAGGTGTAGGGACGGTGAGAGGCTTCACCAGAGACTGAGTGGGGAGCATAACAGGCAGATTGACAAAGTACACTGCTGAGGGGTCAGGAGAGGTCTGCCTCGCCATGTGGATCACCTCCAGGGCAGGCAGGGATCAAACTCATGCAGAATCAGCTTAAGCTTCTTAGTTCTGTGCTTTAACCCACTGTGCCACCAGGGAGGGCCCTTTTTTTACTTTTTTACCTTAACATTTATTATCTATTGGCCAGCTATAGACTTATTTATCCCTTATGTTTTACTTCATTTTTTTTAACCTTGTCTCTTCCATTTCCTTTTTATTTTCTCTTTTTTCAATAGATTTCCATATTTATTATTATATCTGATAAAACCTAACATTTAAGAACTTTAAGTATGCTTTTTCCTCCCTGAATTATTTTAGAAGTTAAATTAGGAGCCATGAAAATATTCATATGTTTGGTGCTTTACTAAAGGTTAGCTTGAAATGGAAATTTTACTCTGATGAAATGTCAGATTTCACAATTAGACTGTAAAAAAGAAGGAAACATTTCAAAAGAAATCTGAAAAATAGTTTGTAGAACAAAGATCAAGGAAAAGTATCTCCTTGAGTGTTAAAACTGAATGTTTGGGCTTTCTTTAACATCTCTTTACTTATTCATTCTTGTAGTACACGCTTGTGCACATATATTCAAAGCTAGAAAATAAATGAAAAAATACTGTCTTCTTGACCACGTACTGAAAGACAGGCACTATTTCTTTACAGTCATAGTTTTGTTTTTGTGTTTAATGGAGCTCAGCTGCCTAAAATTGTGAGAATTAGAGAAGGTATAGGAAAATGTATAAAGAGATTTATTCCTTCTTCAGCTGTCATATATTTTCAAAAGTACTTTTCAACATTTTAGCCTTTTTGTTCAACGTAATTTTCCACACAAATATATTAGAGAATTTAACCATGAATTTCAAACATTATCTAATAGAACCAATAATGTAAGTAGAGTTACTTTAGAAAATCATATCAGTATGTATTATATATATTCTTCTTTGTGAAAGAAATATAGATTGTTATAATATTTCTCTCAAATCTTTATGGAATTTTTAGACAGGCTACTGAAGATCATACTTAATTAAGGGGCAAACCAAGATAAAGTCGTTTCAAATAAAAAAAGATAAATAGCTGCATTTGAAGAATATGAATATAATTAGAAATTCCTTGTGGAGTTATGGATTTTTTGAAAGTCACTGTAAATTGCTTTTTAATTTATAGATAAATCCCCTACATAATTTGTATTAAATTTCTATTTTTGTTTCTTGTTTGTTTGTTTTAGTTTGGATTGCAACGGATTCTAGGAGATGAAAGAAGTCTTTTACTATTGGCAAGAGCAATTGACCCCAAACAACCCAACATGATGACGGAAATAGTAAAAATACTTTCTGCTATTTGCATTGTTGGAGAAGATAACATGTAGGTATTATTATATTATTAACTGCATGGAAAATGACACATGATAATCTTCCTTTTGTGCTGTCTTCAGAAAGTTTGCATGAAAATAGTATTACACTTTAGAAATTTTTGTTGGTACTTTTATCTACTCTACTTAACTTTTAACTTTTTTTACATTTGCTGAAAAATAGGCTTAAAAATAATTCCAATGGACAATTATCCAAAGTTTGATTAAAAGTGAATGAATTAAATTTTGTCTAGTTGAAAGTAAAGCAATCATTGGATGACTGGGGAAAAATCAGAGTTATTTTACTAAATACACATACTCATGCATATCACAAATTTTGACTTCTTCCATTTAATTGACTAAGTGTCTTAATTTTGTACTGTTATTTTATAATAGTGATATTTTACTTTATCTGCCTACGGTAATTGAAAAGATGAAGAAATTGTGGAGTGAAATAAAGCAGCCCTTTATAAAGAAAGTGCATATATGGGCCACTTTCTGCAGGTTATCGCTGAGCATGTAGTTAATCGTAGCTTCTTATGGGAAAAAATGTGGATCAGGAGCAAAATTTCAGAACTGACGCCATGAGTAATCCTTGCTAGTAAGAAACCATTGTGATAAAAATTAAAATATTTTCCAAGGACATGAACTGAAATGTTCTGAACATGTTGTGTGAAAGTTGCGATTTTAATTTTAATCCAAACAGTACCATCCAACGACTTAAGATTGCTCTAATAAATTGACTATCTCAGATCTGTTACAATAAAATGAGATGTTGATTAGTGCTAGCTATTTTCCTTCTAAATACCAAAAAGCAAATACTAAACAAAAATATTTTTATATAGCATTTTCTTATCTCAAACAAAAACAGAGTGAGAAAACATGCAAAAATAACAGTTCCTTAGGTTTTATAGAAAAATTAGTTTATGCATGAGTGAAAAATTTTTCTAGTCAACTAGATTTAATTCATAAAATATAACATAGCCTGGAATTTTGCTATTATTTAGTTATAATTTTATGTACCATTTGATAAGAGTAGTATACTAGTTACAGGTAAATTTGACTCAGACACTATATAAATAGTTACCAATATTTTTGAGATAAGTAAATTTCCTGTGCTAGATAATTATAAATGTTTCTCTGATTATGTGGACTTTCTCTTTTATATTGTTTCTTGCTCCATTCTAAAAGAATGTTGCTTTTAATAAGAGTTTTTATAAAAATATTTCTTCTCAGCATTTCTTTAGAAAACTAAACCATTTATTCTTTAATAAGCTTGTAATAATTTTAGATGCTATATTATATTTAAGTGATATTGATATCCATTAACACATGAAATATCAAAATCTAAAGTTTTATATTTTAGTGTTTATCATTCTTTGAGATTTGTATTGATTTTTTCATTTTGATGCCCTAAAATTGTTATAACTTTTTATATCTTACTTATAGAAATATATAGACAGGAATACAATTTTTAATTTGTTAATGGTCTATATGAAAAGCAAGCACCAAAAAAAAAAAAAAAGATGACTGGAAGAGATAACCTATATTCATAATTGTATATGTAAATTGTATTTCTTTTTTGCCATCATTATAGTCTGGATAAACTTTTAGGAGCTATAAGTACAGCAGCAGAAAAAAATAACAAAGAAAGATTTTCACCTATTGTGGAAGGATTACAAAATCATGAGGCTTTGCAGTTACAGGTGAGTTAACTTTTGTCTAAAATTGCTTTCTAGGATCATAATTAGAATACTCACTGTGTATACTAAGTCCATTTTAGCTGACATTTAAGTTTAGCGAAACATAAAAGTGAATTTCTTCCTGTTGCTTTGTCCTTCATAAAAGCTGCAACTGTTGCTTGTATAAGTGACCATTTGTTTAAAATTAGGAAAAAAAATTTGATTGCTATAAATGTAGTATTTATGAAAATTATTAATAATTTGGGTAGTAATTCAGTAGTTAATGTCATAAACCATGGAAATTAAAACCTTACAATCATCAGGGCAAGAAAGCAAACAGTTCACCCAACGCAAATGAAATCTGTGGGCTTGTAGAAATTTCAGAATGCCAAGCATATCATTATTTGGGCTATATCCAAACAAAACTATCTGTTCTTACATGATTTGAGTAGAAGACTCATTTTATGAAAAATAACTTTCATCTTGAGTGATGAAAATATTTATTCACCATATTTATGGTGTGAGATCTAGGACTAAACATTGTAGTTTACATGTGCTACCATGTGAGTGCCATTGTCATCTCCATTTTGCTCATGAGACAAATAGACTAAGTGAAAATGCATATGTCACCTTACCTAAGGTGACATATTTCTAAAGTCAGTATTCAATTCAAGGGCCTTTGTTCTCTAATGCTCATCTCTTTCATTTAGACAGTGTTTGCCATTTAATGCACCTTGGGGAATGCTTTGTGAAATCTTTTTAAACTTTTGTATTGTTCAGCAAAGACAAAATGGTTCTGTATTTAATTTTATCAAATTACTTAGCAGTGAGTGTTTAAATACTAAAATGTCTTAATCTGAGATACAGCAAGCAGTCTCTTTTGTCCATTTTCATTGCATTGTGAAGTTTTGGTATCTTTTTCCTTCAAGGGTTTGAAACTTGAGCAGTAAGATGAAAATAGCTTATCCAAAGAAAGTACTGTGGTGTTACAATTGTTATTTCTACACCAATTACGATGAACATTTGGATAAACTTTTATGATGTGCCTTTTGTGTTCAATGTATTATATTTTTTATAATATAATAGTTTATTTTTACATCACTTTGTACCTTTTTTTTTTTCATCTCAATTGTAATCCCCATGGGTTTCCCATCACCAAGTCACCCATGTGCCATCACCATAGTCCAGTGCACTTCCCTCCCCCAACCATTTTTGATCCCATAATATATTTTTTAATAAAAATATTTCTTTTCTGTGTTTCTCTTTAATAATATAATTATAAAATGGTCATAGTAAAATTTAATATCTCATTTGAGATATTTGGATGCTGTAAAATCCTGAAATCTAGCTAAATTTCATTGATTTTTATCATATATTGGAGTTTTTACTTGCAATGATTTTTAGGTGGAGTTAAGTTGTTTTGATATATTTAAAATGTTTGTTGCTCAGATCACTCAAAGTCATACAGCTGTAGAAGGGTGGAGCGGTGATATGAAGCTAAAGTTCTGTGTCACCAATGTTTGTATACTAGGTTGCCTGACCTTTAAAGTGACACCTTGCCAAAGAGTTGTCCACCCCAAACAATGAGAGGGGTTTGACATTTGCTAGCCTCAGGAAGCTGGCCTGAATAGAATTATAAAGTGCCAAGTTGTTAAATAGTAACACACTAAATAATCATAGACATTTTGCTAGGTATTCAAGAAATTGTTGAATATTGATTATAGACACAATGAATACAGGTCACAAGTTGAAATTTCCTATTTTAATGAATTTAAAAAATTAGCAGTTTGTTACACACGGAGCATATTACTCCCACAAGAGTTGTGAAGTGGGTTTGTTTGTCTGGACTATTTAATTTGAATACAAATTTATGTACCAAAATTCAAACAAGTATTTGGAAAACAGAATGACAAATGCTGAAAATATATATATAAATAGTGCTGTATTTAAACAGAATATTTTTTTTTTCAATTTCTGTAGTATTCTGAGACTTCTGGATTTTATTACAGTCCCAGGAAGTAATTCTCTTAAAATACAGGGTTATATGTTTAAATAACAACTATGCATACCTTTTGGATTTTGTTTTTTCAGATTTTATTTTTTAAATATTATTTATGCATACAGAACTGGGCTACAGGCCAGAAGTGTGCGGGCGGTTAGAGGATTCACAAGAGACAGAGTGGGGATATAATCTCTTAAAATTTAACTTACTTGCATTTCTCAAAAATGTCAACAATGAGCCTCTAATTTCATAATCCAATGGCTTCTTTCCAATCCTCATCATTTGGAATTATTCATAACTCTCTCCTTAAGACTTTTACTTTCTTTATCTTTCCAGATACTATTCTCCCTTGCTCTTTCCCTCTATTTGTTCTTTCTTTGTATTCCTCATGTGTCTCTTCTTGTGTACTTGTTATCTGTGCACTATCCTTTATACTCTTATCATTTTGCAAATATGCATACACATGTAAATATAAACACACATATATACTCATATACATTTACTTATACACATATGGATTTTATTTTCTCCATGAATATTGCCAATTACTTCTCTAACTTTAATGTTTAGTTATGTTCTAGTGATTCCCTAGTTTTTAAAATCCAACTCATCTCTTTCTGTTCAAACCTATATGTCCAAATGATTAACTAAATGTCTAATAGGCATTGTAAAAATAAGAAATTTAAAACAGCATTTATAAGCCATCTGCCAAAGTTCTAAATACTTTACATATGTTACCTCATTTTAATTCTCAGCAATTCTGTGAGAGTGATAATAGTAATATCCTCATTTTATGGATGAGTGAAGTGAGGTTCATAGAGATTAATTTTCCTAGTGTTACAAAATGAATAGGAAGTGAATCCCAGATTAGACACTGGGGAGTCTGACTCTAGAGCACATGCTCCCAACCATTATATGGTACTGCATCTTATTAAACTAAGCACATTCTTTCTTTCGTTTAGCCTGATTCTTCAATGAGAAGTTTGCTATTTTTCCCATCTTCTTATTTTATACTACAGAGGTAGCATTTTCTAACTAATCTACATTTTTCCTCAAGACTTTGTTCTTTGTTCCTTGCATCCAATGAATCATTGAGTCTTATAGAATAGACTATGAATCTATCATATATCCCTTGCTATCTACCTCCAATGCCTTTATCTTCTCCCACCAAAAAATATTCCATGTATATCCTAATTAATACCCCACATCGACAGTCTTCTCTCCAGACAAGTGTTTTGTAGTTGTTGTCAGTTATCCTTAAAAATAATCTCATTTGGGCCCTGCCTGGTGGCGCAGCGGGTTAAAGCACAGCACTAAGAAGCTTAAGCCACTTCCACATGAGTTCGATACCCGCCTGCCCCGGAGGAGTCCACCTGGCGAGGCAGACCTCTCCTGACCCGCCCACTGCTTCCCTCAGCAGTGTACTTTGTTGATCTGCCTGTTCTGCTCCCTGTTCTGTCTCTGGTGAATCCTCTCACGCTCCGCATCTCTGGCCTATACCCCAGTTCTGTATGAATAAATAAATAAATCTTAAAAAAAAAAAAAGCTAAAAGCTTAATAATCATCTTGTGTATGATCTTTTTCAGTGTGTCCCTGACCTAACATTCTACCATTTGAGCCTGTTAGTCTCTCATATGTCCCATATGGTTTAGCCACACTAAACCTAATGTTTCCCAAATATGCTATAGATTTTTAAATGCCAATAAACATTTTATCATGTAGAACATTTTGATTGAGAGACCAACTGTTCTGCAACCGAATCCCATTCATCCTTGTAAGATATAACGAGAGCGCAAAGAAAGGCAAAGTCAGAAAAATTATCTTTGCTGATAGAAAACCTGTGTTTTGGTGAACTATAAGCAGGAAAAGGGTTAGTTTAAATTAGTGTAAAAAGTGGGGGTGGGAGCAGACAGAACAGTCTGCCAATCACTTTACAAAAGAAATGCAGACTGAGATATCAAAATACAGTTCAGGCTAATTCCTCCATATTCCAGAATAGAAGCTAGCATGCACTAAGCTTTAATAATAGGGTAGAGTAGTATCATTAATATCCAATGATGTATTATAAAAAGTACCCCAGTCTTCACAGGTTGACATTAGTCTGAAGATTCTGTGTCTTAAAGAATTTCTGTAGCTGCATACAGAAGTTTTTTTTAATATGATTTAATACATTTAAACTTTTTTCTAATATGCTGAACATAAAACAAAAAAGTGTTGTCATCATATATAGTACCCAAAACACAGCTGTAAATATACACTGCAGTGATGTGTAGAATAGGTTCATTTATCCTGACCTCACTTATTTGATAGACTTATCACTTGGGAATATAACAGAGGATAAACCAACCAACCAAACAAACAAACAATTCAAACAGCTTAAAAAATGTGACCAAGGGTTCTCCCTGGTGGCTCAACAGGTTAGGATGCAGCACTGAAAGCTAGCCACAAGCCTCTTCAGTGTGAGTTCCATCCAGACCCTAAAGGTGACTCACATGGCGCGGCAGACCTCTCCTGTCAAGCCTGCTGCTCCCCTCAGCAGTGTACTTTGTCCATCTGCCTGTTCTGCTCCCCACTCTGTCTCTGGCGAATCCTCTCACTGCCCCTGCACCTCTGACCTGTGCTCCAGTTTGGTATGCATAAGTAAATAAGTCTTAAAAAAAATAATAATAATAGGG